TTACTAACTTTTTATTAGTTGGGCTGTGGTCGAACACGTCCTTGCCTTCTAAATTCTAATTCGGCTGACTTGACATGCACCAATTGAGTTGGATAATTAACACACCATTCTCATGCGGACCATGTAATTAGGCATAATGCATGGCTAGTCAATCTTCGCCCGTTTTTTGTTGTTTTCACATCTAATAATTATTCTGACCACATTTTCTATCAAACAAAATTTCCTAACTACGATTCTTTTTTTCCTATTTAGTTTCCATATGTTGTCTGCTTTTACAGTTCCATTCTTTTTACTAAGCATTAATGTTATTTATTTTTAAAATCTTAATAATATGTTTATTTTTATCCATTTTTTTTATATATCATATTAAATTATGTTTCAGTTTAGGATCTTCCATTTGACACGTATATTTTAGGTATAAATAAAAAGTAACTATTAGTATTAATAAGTTTAATTATAAGTTAATATATATTAAAAATGAAATTAAATATGTTATTTAATATTAATTTACAAATAAGAAATTAGTCCCAAGTTGTTTATATAACGAAACATAAATGTATGTATAGTGAATATTTCATATAAAATAATTTAAAATAGTAATTTGTATGGTTATCATTCATGGATTTTAAAAAAAAATGCTAAAAGTATAAAAATATAAGTAAGACTTATTCAAGGATCAATATATGTAAAATTAAAATGATAAAACAATGGGTCAATTGTCGAACTAAACTGTATGGTTTTCGATTATGAAGGATTAAAATATATTTAACATGTTTAGTTGTAAATTATATTAACCAATGAATCATCTATCAAACTGTTATTAAAATTATAACTTTAGAATATATATAGAGCGATTGGATTACATGAGAATGGTAGATAGTGAAAGAAATAAGAATGGAATTGTACCAATGGAACCATTATTTTAGTGGTTATGATGAAGTCAAATTTTAGTAAATATGGTCAAACATAGAGTGGCAGTCTCGTAAATAAATGGATATTTGATGGTCAAATATATCTCATTTACCACTAATTAAGGGTAAATTTGATATTATATCAATGACAACTCACCAACAGGTCCCACCCCAACCACCAACCTTAATATCTATCTCACACACAAACACACACTACGCGCAAGCACACATACATAGATACACACACACACACACACACACACACACACGTACACACGCAGTCCTCCGCCGTGACTCAACGTGTCTTCGCTGTGCCGCCGCCGCGTCTCCGCCACTACCTCCATCTCAGTCCTCCTCCACCTATCTTCACCGGCCAACCACCGTGCCCCTACCACTACCGCCATCTCACTCACAGGGGCGGATCTAGAAATTTGCATGAGTGGGGGCCTCAGTTGTTTATGTAACTAACTACGCGAATCATAAAATGAAATTATAGGTTGCGATTGTATATAATTGTTTTTTTTAAATCTTGTCTCATCTAAAAATAGAGATAAGAATGTGAGATAGATTTGAAATTGTGAATGAAAACAAGATAAAAATGTAATGATCAACAAATGAAAATATGTTAATAATTAATAATAGTATTATTAGAAAGTATTAAATAATATGAATTTATTATGTTTTAATTCTGTTATGTAGATAAAAAGGTGGGATGAAATAAATATTATTTTTAGAATTTTCTTTTTATTGTTTTCTTAGTTCCAACATGATAAATCTTGAGAATGGAAAGAAAAGAAAAAAGTCATATATCCAACCAATGTTTCTCCTTTTATTTTCTTTAAGTTTTTTAAAAAGTAGATTAACTATTAATCATAAATATAATTTAGAGTTATTTTCATGGAAACTTGTATATGTACGTGAAATATTAATTAACTACAAATTTTGAGTCTTCATACCTAAGTCATATTAAGTAATTAATAATTATATATTAAGTTCAAATTTAAGCAAAATAGGATAAATAGTGATGATGCTTAAAAATAAAAATAAAAAGTAATTAATGATGGATAAACAAAATGCTATATGTCATTTTATAATTTGAAGAGAATTATATCTTCTCAAATACACCTGCATAATGCAAATTAAATTATTCATTAATTAATTTATATATAATCCTAAGTAGTATTCGAAAAATTCAGTGTGGGCCTAGGCCCACACTGGTCCTTTAATGGCTCTGCCCCTGCTCACTCATCCTCCGCCTACCTTCACGAGCCCGAAAACGCGCCGCCGCCATGCCTCCATTGCCCCCACTAGAGAATGCCGCGGCATAAGAGACTCTGGCAGAAAGGCGACGACTAGGATGTCGGTTACCAGTCTCGGTGGAGTCCTCCCACCAACCTCCTCAGTGCCGCCCCAGTCTCGACGACAACATTGTTGGCGTCCCATCGTACCGAGTTTGTTGTTGTCTGCTCCGGCGAAATGCGTTAGCATGGACTTTTGGAATTCTTTTTCGGGTTGCAGAAGGAGTCGAGGACATGGCATGGGAGGAGAGGATGTATGCGGTGGCGGCTGTAGTGGCAGTGACGGGTCCGGCAGGATGGTCGCGGCGGTGGCTGACGGGGATTCTTTTAATTTTTTTTTTCTATGAACATGTTGTAAGATTTGGGGTGGTTTTTGAATATTTGATATAGTTAGGGGACTTATATGTAATTAATTAATCTTTAATACATTTTCACTTTAATACATGGGCCATTTTTATAATTTAGTGAAAAGAAAAAATGCATAATAATTGAATGCACAATAATGTTACATAAGATGTACAATACTGCCTGATGACATGGACATTAAAAAGTTACGTAATATTTTTTTTTTTTTATGAAATTATAGAATTGCATCCGTCTACATCTAAATTTCTCAATTCAACCAATATGACACCGCGCTTAGGGTTGTTCATTGACCGAATTGAACAACAGAAATAACCGAATTTTTCGAATGAGGTCCCTATGTCCAAAATACAATACCCGTCATCACTTCATGATTCTCGTCAACGTCGTTCTCGGTCAATCGACAATCGACTTTGAGCCTTGCCATTCAACGTGAGATTCTCCCCGGGATCCGTCACATATAGCGGCGAAATCGACTGTGCAAAATGGACTTCCAGCCCGCCACTCCCTGTGAGATTGATGGGGGAATGAATTTTGTAATGGCTTATTTTTTTGTCAGCCGTGGTGAGGGAGGCGCGATGGCGGCAGGACCGACAGTGCCGTCATGTTGCCCGACAGAGCCACTGACGACATAAATAGCGGCGATCTGGAAATCAGAGGCGACGATGACTATGCTTTCTAGCGGCGGAGGCAGCGATGCAGGTGGTAGCATGCGGCAATATAGGTGTTCACAGGCGGCGATGTAGGTGTTCGCAGGCGGCGACGGCGACCGACTGACTTGGGCGGTTCTGTGCGGCGCCATGGGGAGGGTTACGTTCAAAACGTGTGTGTGTGTGTGTGTGTGCAGTGTATGTGTGTGTGCGTGTGTTGTATGTGTGTTTTGTGTGTGTGATGTGTGAGTGGTGATGTGGCGTGGGACCCACTGGGAGGTGGGTTGGTTGGATGTGCAATTGTAATATCTAATTACCCTAAATGAGTGTAAGATTTGACTTTTTTTAGCTGTTGGATCATCTGTCGATTTGATGGCTAAGATTTATTCTTCTTTCTTTCACTGAGCACCATTCTCATTGGAGCGCAAACATATATACATATATATATATATATATATATATATATATATATATATATTGTTACAAACTATGACGACAAACCAATGGATCATCTGTCGAACATGTATGCTATTAACTTAGGAAGATAAAAATATAGTCATAAAGTATAATGATAAGACAATAAGTCATCCATCGAATAACGATGTAATTGTTAGCTTAGAAAAAAAATAATATTTATATGCGTATTGTTATAAATTATAATGATAAATCAAATGGTGTCGAACTGTTGTATGATTTATTAGATTAGAAAAAAATTCAAAATATTTATAACATACTTTATTAAATTACAAAATATTAAAATAATTTGGACGTAACTAAAAATTAATAAAATTACAACTTTAAAATAGTATACATTACAATATTTGGCACAATTTTTTAACTTTATCATCATTTATTTAGGAATCCAAATAATATACTGTAATACGGTATAAGTAAGAGAAGTGAATTAAAACTATTATCAATTAATAATATTTGATTATGTTATTTTTCGTGTTCCTTAATTCTAAATAAGAACTCCAAAATTAAATCTACTAGTAAATATGTTGTGCATATGTACAGATGTACATAAAATATATAAGTAATATTTGAGAATTTCATATTAAAATTTTGGATAATGAACATATTACATTTTTAAAATTTAATCATTAGGAAAAATAAACTAATGATTGTTTATTATTATGAACAAATGTTTATTATCTTTAGATAATAGCAATTTGATTAGTATGATTATTATTATTATTATTATTATTATTATTATTATTATTATTATTATTATTATTACAAAACCAATTTTTTATAAGATTATAAAGTTATTTGACTATGCTATTAAAACAATTTACTAATTGTTTTTAAAGAAATTTTTTCATGAGATACAAAAGAAAAAGAAAATATTGATGTTAAAATAAATAACTTGAAACAATTGTTTATAATTATGCAATTTATATTTATAGTGAATTATTATTAGTTGGTATTAGCATTAATTATTATATAATATAATAGAAAAATACATAATTACACTCAATAGGATGTATTAATGTGAGAAGTAAAAAACATTAATGATAAATTTTGTAACCGAAAATGGAGGGAAAATTTTAGAGGTTTTATTAAATAGGTTTT